ATGTCGTCAACTCTGCGACGGTCAGGACGAAAGACCCCATCATTGCGGAACAGGTGGCCATCGCCTTGGCACTCAAGATGGATAACATTGAGGTCGTCTGCAGTGATTCCATGGCAGCATTACGGGCGTTCACCAAGGCGACGGTCTCTGAACAAACGCTGAGAATACTGCAAGGCAAGAACATAACGCATCATCTTCTGAGTTGGTTCCCAGCTCACCTTGGACAAATCAACGATTCCCCGCCCAATCTCAATGAAGCAGCACACGAGGCGGCGCGAGACCTCTCCAACCGCGCCTCCCCGAGGATGCGTTCTACCGGTGAAGGGGATAACCGGGAAACTCTTACAACATATAATGAGCTCACTAAACAATTATACCTGTCTCGAAGGATTTTAGATGCGGAGCATCTTATACTCGCGCCTTGTAGTGCGCCGTCCGCGCCGTCCGCGCCGTCCGCACCGCTTCTCGAACATTCGACAGCTGACGCGCGCGCATGCGCCGTCGCGCCGTCGCCCACTCTTCCACCATCTGTGCATCCCTTCCTCCTCTACACACCGCGCGCGCTTCACTCCTCCACCATCTGTGCACCCTTCCTCCTCTACACACCGCGTTCGACATCTACAATTCTCCTGATTCTCCAGTGGACGCGCATGTGGCGTCGCGCTTCGAGAACATTCAACAGCTGACAGTGCATGCGCCGTCGTGCTGTATATATACTCAAGGTCGGCGCTCGCTCGCTCAGTTGCCGCTCGTCGGTTGGTTTGTACGGCGCGTCGGCGTCCAAGGTTGCGGTGAAATGAATTCCAACGAATCCACAAACACAATGATCGACGTCCCTTCAACCAGCGCCGCCCTTTCGCATACGTGTGTACGTGTTCACTCATTTAACACCTCCTCCTACAACCACGTTAACCAATTTAGCCATCGACCCAAGTAAGTCGCAATTTAACACCCCATTTCACAACCACGTTAACCAATTTAGCCATCGACCCAAGTAAGTCGCACTTTAACACCCCGTTAACCAATTATATGGTCCGCATCCTCCTCAGTGTTCCCCCCGAGGGAAGCTGCGGGCAATTTTTTTCCTCCACCTCACAAAAATCTAACTCGGCCCCCAGCACTTACAATAAGGCTTTTGCAAAGCCGGATGTACCCTACTATGAAAATGTTACACATCATGTACCCCGTTCTATACCCAAATAATCTTTGTCCACATTGTGGGGAAATAGCTTCATTTGAACATAAAATATTGTAGGCCCGTGTACTCAGATTTGGGTGCACGTTAAAGAACCCCAGGTGGTCTAAATTTCCGGAGCCCTCCACTACGGCGTCTCTCATAATCATATAGTGGTTTTGGGACGTTAAACCTCACAAATCAATCAATCAAATCATTCGAACATATGCTCTGGGGAGTGCACCGAATTCGCTCATTTATCGAACATCGATTGATAGATTGATATGTGGGATTTAACGTCCCAAGACCACCATATGATTATGAGAGACGCCGTAGTGGAGGGCTCCGGAAATTTAGACCACCTCGGGTTCTTTAACGTGCACCCAAATCTGAGCACACGGGCCTGCAACATTTCCGCCTCCATCGGAAATGCAGCCGCCGCAGCCGGGATTCAAACCCGTGACCTGCGGGTCAGCAGCCGAGTACCTTAGCCACTAGACCACCGCGGCGGGGCGATTTATCGAACATCACCTCTGCCAGATGGGAGGCGGCCATCCGCAGCTCGTCCTTGGCAGATCAGCTCTGGGCTGTCCACCAAGCCCTCGAGGCGGCTGAGGAGCTTGGCATCTCAGTCCTCACGTGGGAACTGCCCGCAACACAGTGATCTGTGTTTTGGAGGACCAATTAAAGGTTTATCCAATCCAATTCAATCCTGCGTCAGGTGCCCACTGCACGTTTTGAGCTGTTTTTGGCGTGACAAGGCATTAATTTCCGTTGATGGAGCGTTCATTCCTTCATCCGTGTGGCTAAACCGCGTACAATAAGCGTTCAACTTCCTCTGTGGAAGGACGTCTCACTTTCGTGTTGCACCAGTTTCTAAATAAAAGGATCAGTCACAATTTTTCTCCTTACTTGCGCCATGTCACCGTTTTAACAATGTCCTCACGTGTTTATTGTCAAAACTAGAATGCATTAACGTGACACCCAGTTTTCTAAAACCTTAATGCTGTAGCAGGGTTCATGGTAATTGGACAGTTCTCATCAACTTGTTGGTTCGCCTTTCGGTCGCGCTTCGGAACAGCCAACACATCAGTAAACGCCCTTCACCAAATCCCACACATCTTCATAGTTATGCGCCCCAAAACCACAAAATGGCAAAACTTAGTTGGGGTGTTGCGGTTGAGCTACGGTGTAAGTTATAGATCTTACATTATCGGTTAATAATAAAAAGCTTCAGCTTTGCCGCAAAGGCGAAGCGATGAACGTGATAGCAACAAATATGAAGGTCACGCGCCGCATGGAAAGCAGATCGAGACGTGCTCCGCGTTTCTCACGCACAAATGACGCACGAAACGTACTCACAGGTACGGGTGCACGCGAATAAGCATCTCAATTGTTTCTTTGCTGTGTCTGAAAAGCGCGCGCTTTTCGCAGAGACTCCTGTGATTGCAGTGACCTTTGTGCGTCCGGTAACTACAATCGAATTGTTCAAGGTAAAACCCGAGGCCAGCGAAGACGTACGATGCTCCGCTCCTCGCCACCACGAGATAAGGGCGTGCGAGGGAGCGTCGCTTCCCTTCTCTAAGCCGGGAAAAGCACGCGGAGAAGATTAGAGAGGGCGCCGCCGCGCGATGTGGCGACGCGTGCTCGTTGCGCCATCTTGCTGGTATTGCTGAAAACACAACTCCCCCTGAGATGCTCGTGAGCAGCGGTAAGCGGTAGATACAAATAGCTTGCGTTTAAGCCTTGAAGGCCGTTCTCCGAGGTGGCTCAGTGGTTAACGCCTCGCTTACAAGACGCAGAGGTGCCATATTCGGTTCCGCGCGTCGGATTGTTTTTCTAGTTTTTTTTTATTCTGGCATTTTTGTATATATTGCTACGTGGTGCCACGGATAACTCGAAACTCGATAAGGAAGAAGATGATAACTGAGCTCTCGTGCAAACTGGGTTCCATCTTGTATGCCTGTTTGTTTATTGATAGTAAACATATTTTTCAGACGCCTTTTCCCGGTAACAATACAGATAGGTATACATATATGGGGAGTGACGCCGACGCTGGCAGCAAAATCCAGCCGAGAGTGTTCATATAATTGCTTCTGCAATAATAATTCTTTAGGTTTTACGTCCCAGAACCTCGTTATGATTATGAAAGACGCCGTAGAGGAGGACTCTGAAAATTTCAACAGCTGGGGTTCTGTGCACCTGAATATAAGCCTAGAGTGGGTCTTAGCATTTTCGCCTGCACAGAAAACTCGTCCGCCGCGGCCATCGCCTGCGAGTCAGTAGTCGGACATCATGATCACTAGACTACCGTTATAGTCACCGTAGGGCACGAGTTAACAACGAACACGTAGACGCGAGAATGAATGAGAATGGCGCCGTAATAGTTAAGTTAAGGAAGTTTTATAATCCAAACAATACCCTCGATGATTACGCCAGTTTACATGGCTATGCTCCATTCATCGGCTGGTGTCTGTCACCACGTACGCCTTCCTCTCTTAGCGCCGAGCAACCCGACGACGAAGAGCAGTTAGCGAGCGCTTCCTGATTGTTCACAAACAGGTCTTCTTTCGATCAATCAAGTGCCTCTACTCCTGGCGGCATCCCAGGTGCAGCCTGGTAACTTCGCTCCGAGCGCTGATACTGTAAAAGCCCGCAAAGGAATATGAAATTGCAGAAGGCTATTTCGAAGGACCTGCTGGTACATGATGCTGATGGGAACAGCGCGAGAAATGGGACCCAAAAAGAATGAACACATGACACAAGCACTCTGTCGCCCCGCCACGGTGGTCTAGTGGCTGAGGTACTCGGCTGCTGACCCGCAGGTCGCGTGATCGAATCCCGGCTGTGGCGGCTGCATTTTCGATGGAGGCGGAAATGTTGTAGGCCCATGTGCTCAGATTTGCGTGCATGTTAAAGAATCCCAGCTGGTCGAAATTGCCGGAGCCCTCCACTATGGCGTCTCTCATAATCATATGGTGGTTTTGGGACGTTAAACCCCACATAATCAATCATCAAATTAAGCACTCTGTCTTGTGTTCATTCTTCCTCGGTCCCATTTTTTTTCGCGCTGTTTCCCTAAGTAGCATTGATTTTGTAATTTAGTGGAGTGTACGCGGCTCATACCTAGTTCGGCGATTGACGTTTTGGACCATGACAACGATCTGCACTCGATACGCGTGTTTACTTTGCATGTTATACAACATCGTAGATTGTTTAAGGGCCGTTTATGTCACTTACGGTAAGAGACTATTTTATCTCATCGACTGTCTAGAAATAGAAACATGCACGGCCCACACTATATTATTGCTCTAATTTTTTAAGCTTCCCTGCAGGGTAGTGCGAAAGGCAAATATGACACTAGCCCACTTGAATCATTAATCCGTGGTGTGGTATTTCTACGCCGAGTGATAATTCAAGGCGTGCCCGCATCACAGCAAGCATTTGAGGAGTTGCTGATGACATATGACCGAATTTCAAAGAACGTAAGAAAACGCAGACTGCAAGGAGAGTAACTAGAACAAGAGCGCTAACTTTGAAATAAACTTTCTCATAAAAAACACTGGTGTAATAAAAAAACCACATATATATAAGCGCACTTTATTTGAACATCTTCAATAAGTGAACATCACGCAATATTCACATTTTTTATAGGATTCACGGTTATAGGGGAACCACTGTATTAGGTCAGTATACGATGGCTTGGAAATACGTAGTACTTCTACAGAAACAGTCTCAGTTATAGGTGCCACACTATCTTGTTGGCGACACTTGCATTTCCTAGTCGTAGTATGGTGCGTATATGCATTGTCTCAACGTGACGCAGAGCTCGGACCGCGTCGTATGGCGCAGCGTGTGGCGCATGGTTGAGCGCCATGCAGGTCAGGTGTCCATCGACGAGCTGTACCGGCCAGCCCATGTGGCTCAGGTGGCCAGCGGCAGAGCCGTGGTGCTGTCCGACCAAAACAGCTTCCGTTACGTGGTCGGCCGCAGCTGCGGACGCTACCCGCAGGCCCAGTTCTACATGGCCCGCGAACCCATCAACACGCTCTCCTTCGGGTTGTACGTCAACGCGCGCCTGCCCACACGTTTCCGCCGTGCTCTGGACCAGAGGCGAGTGTCAGATAACGTTCGTGCAATGCAAAATAAGGATCATTCACTGCCGCTTACTGAGCGTCAAGAACCAGGTTCATCACTATAAAGTATTAGGCGAACATATACCATTAGGTCCATTAAAACGTACGGATTGCTGTTATTAGTTTAGGCAGGATACTGAAAGTGTAGACCTATAACGTGACATAAAGCAGATGACGAAATGACTTGCCATTTATGTCGGTTCACATTTATTGTGGCCACACGAAAAAGTGTATGAAAGCATGAAGTGCGATCTGCTTACCCGGGCCTATGTATAAGAGGTAGGTCACAACGCTTGCCCGAGGGAGGAATTATTCAGTGAGGCAGATTTGCGCATTCGCTCAGGTCAATATCTTCCGTACGCTTCCCGGGTTAGAGTTTGAGTAGACCAGTCCCGGCTGATTGTATATCACTTAACCCTTTCGTTTATGTCTGTAGGCTTGGGTGGCTCCGCGAGTCCGGCCTTATGAGTCTGTGGACGGAGCGTATGTTTCCGGACTGGGGACGCTGTGCGCAACGACGAAGAAGCTTTCAAGCATTGGGACTTAAGGACGTGCATGCTACCCTCGTGTCGCCGGCGCTGCTGGGCTCCGTGCTGCCTGCTCTAGTTCTGGTGGCCGAAATACGTCTGGCACGTCGGCAGCCACCAACCACTCTCCGGCGGGTGAAACGCCGTCGCTTATGGACGTAGCTCACTCACGGAGAGGCACGCGTTCAAAAGCTGCGCGCTGATGGGCTGCAACGGGTACAAGTGGTCAGGTCTTTAAGGTCTGGCCACACGTATACGCGTCAGCGCATGACGTGTACACTCAACGCCGCGCCCCTTTGCTATGAAGAGACAGTGCGTGGCAATATAAGGGGAGATGGTGGGCGCTTACCCAAAGCTATACGTCTTCTCTATATAAAGAGGGCGCGGTATTTAATCTAAGAGTCACGTGTGCCATGCTTCATCGCGTACGAGGGGTCAGGCATTTACATGTGATATGCGTAAAGGCCCCCACACACGCATCCGTTGCAAAGCGTTAGTGCGTGGTTTTTCAGCGGCACCACGTCTTCTTCCTATAAAGAGAGAGGGCGCACGGCTGTGCGAACTGTAGAATGCCTTAATGCCCACTATTCCGCTCAGAGTGAATACATCTACGGTGGCCGCCATTATCACTCCCGCTGCATAAAGGTTTTGTTCTGGCGCGTAGTGACCCACTAGCTTAACGCGAATGATTGTAGCCCTGACAAACTCAACATCTAAGAAAAATAGCCGAAGAAAACCGGAACGTGAGCACTACAGTTTGGCGAAGACGCTTCAGGCACTACGCTGGAGGATGGAGCCGTACAAAAGGGGCAGCACCATGACCGGGGCGCTCGCATCGAGGCACCCTATCGAAGTTGCGCGTCTTCCGTCTCCTTATGAAAGAGGGCGCGGCGCAGCGTTCAAAGACACACGCTGACGCACTGCAACGGATGCTTCTGTTTAGGCCTTAAGGTTTAGCACGAAGCTTCACATAACAAGGGCAACACGCATATATGCCTCACAGCAGCCGTGAATGGCTGTTCAAGAGTCAGATTGCGGTCCCTTTAGTAGTCACTATAGCTGTGCTTAGTAGCTATGAGCATTAACTGTTTATGGTAGTGGCACTAATAAATACCAAATGGAAAGCATATCTATGCATGGTAGCGAACCTTTGCTACAACTTGCGCCTAAGCCTTACGGACAATCTAGACAAGCATGATGCCACGTACAGGCTAAAATATACCAACAGTTGTATGCTTGTAATTACTAAACTTCTCAGCGTAATAACTTTCGAAAACTAACTCAAGAACGAGGACGAGCGCAGACTATCAAGTAGTTTATTACTACTACGAGGCACATATATATTTTACAAAAAAGACCATATGATCACTTGCTTAGGCAGAAAAAAAAACGCGAAAACAAAAAACACACAAAACTAAAAAGTCAAAAGAGACTGCAAGAAATCACGTGCTCACCCCAAACTCTCACGTGCCGAATTCAAAAACGCTAATTTTTTTTTCAGATAACACTACGGATGGTTTGCTGATGCAGCTGCCTCGAGCGATTGCTGCAGCTTCAATTACAAGTTTTGTGCCTTCGTTAGGGTGGGACGCGAGAACCCTTGTCTTTTCGAACAATGTCTGGCACGCACATTCGGAACAAAGAGCGGCCAAAAACTGTCCCGTCCTGCACTTCTTACTTTCTGGCATTTTTCCTGAAGTCTTATATTAAGACACCTCCCTGACTGACCTACGTACTTCAGTCCACAAGACAGAAGTACACCATAAAAAAATACCTTTTGCACTCTTGTAATTCCTGTTGCATACCAATTTTCGTATCAATACTATTGATGATGATATATGGTGTTTTTGGCGCAAGGGCCATTTGTTGGCCAAAGAGCGCCATTTCATCTTACTAAAAAATATGGACAATGATTGTGATAAGCGGCTGTATAAGGGCCATAAAATTCCTCGCGATAAGGCGGGTAAGAACATACAAGTAATAAAATGATGACCATGCCGTGAAAGATGTGTGTGGTGTGAATGATGACAAAAGTTGGTGATAATAAGACGATGGTGGATATGTATGGCATTAGCACAAGTGCCTCACTCGTTCATACCCTTGCGTCCAAGGGCCGTGAGGCATGTGCTTTCCTGTGTAGCCACCGCAGCAAAAACCTCTCAAGAGAGGTCGTGCTACGGTATGCCCGGGTATATGATATGAAAATTATGAATTTCCTTTAAAAACGCTAATAGTGATTTGTGACTAAAAAGCGGTTCCCTACCGACGAACATTGCAGGGTGTAAAGGTATATGTTGTCGGTAGGATAGTGGGAAGTGGTGTCTTCTTAGACTGTCTAAATGTTTACATTGAATTAAAACGTGAAGAACTGTTAATGTCTCACCACATTTATCACACAATGGTGGATCACCACCGGATAAAAGATGTGTGTGTGTCGTGTATGTGTGTCCTATCCTGAGTCTTGTTAGTGTTACCTCTGTTAGACGTGATTTTGATACTGGTGGCCAATGGCCAAGGTGTGGCTTGATAACGTGTAGTTTGTTTTGTGTGTGTGTGTCCCACTTGCTCTGCCAGTAGTCCCTGAGGTTTCGTTTGAGAGACGGCTTAAGATCAAGGGCCGGGATTGATATAGATGTAATGGCGGTGATCTCATGGACGGATGCAGCGAGCTGATCCGCCCTCACGTTGCCTTGGATCTCACGGTGCCCTGGCACCCAGCACACTACAACATGTTGTTTGTGTGTGTAGAGTGTGCACAAAATGGAGTAAAGTGAGACAAGGACTAGGTTTTTTTGTTTTTTAAGACTGTGCAGAGCCGTTACCACATGAGGGAGTCTGTATAAATTACTGCTTTTTGTATTTGTAATTGTTTGATGTGTTTAGCTGCCACCAGTATCGCGTAAGCTTCCGCTGTGAAGATACTTGTGCGTGGATGTAGAGGGCCAGCATCCGAAAAGGATGGGCCGACAGCAGCGTAGGACACAGAGGAGTTAGTCTTGGAGGCATCTGTGAAGAACTCAGGACGTGTGTATTTGTGTTGAAGTTCCAGAATTGTGTTCGGATATGGGCAATAGGTGCATGTTTTGTAACCTCTAGGAAAGACACATCGCAGTCTATAGTCTGCCACTGCCACGGTGGCGGGTATGCTACAGGAGCCATTAAACTGTGTTCGAGTGACACTCCAGTGTCCTCAGCTAGACCCTTCAGGCGAACTGAGAAGGGCTGCCTCATTGAAGGCCTATTTTGAAAAAGAATGGAGCTCGCCAAGTCATTAATAGTAGAGTATGAGGGGTGCCTCTTGTCTGCTTTCACCTTAAGGAAATATACAAAGGACATGTAGGTTCTTTGCAGATGAAGCGACCACTCATTCGACTCAACGTAAAGGCTTTCTACGGGGCTGGTGCGAAAAGCACCCGTAGAAAGGCGGATGCCCAAATGGTGCACGGGGTCCAGCATTTTCAAGGCACTTTGAGTGGCAGACTGATAGACAACGGCCCCATAATCTAAGCGGGTACGAATAAGGCTTCTATAGAGGTTCATGAGGCATTGCCTATCACTACCCTACGTAGTACGTGACAACACTTTTATAACATTCATGGCTTTTAAACATTTTGTTTTTAAATACTTTATGTGTGGTACGAAGGTCAACTTGTTGTCCAAGATTAAGCCTAGGAATTTATGCTCCGCATTCACAGACAGACGTTGGCCGTTCAGTTCAATGTCGGGTTCTGAGTGCATGCCTCTCTTTCGAGAGAACAAGACACACGTGCATTTTCCAGGGTTCAGCCGGAATCCGTTTTCCTCTGCCCATTTGGAGACCTTGTTTAAACCTAATTGAACCTGTCGCTCACACATTGCTATGTTGCATGACTTAAAGCCAAGCTGGACGTCATCGACATATGTGGAGTAGAACATGTTGCGGGGGATGGACAGGTGCAAGGAATTCATTTTTATAATAAAAAGTGTACAACTAAGTACACCACCTTGCGGTACTCCCGTTTCTTGCACAAATATTTGGGAGAGAGTACTTCCCACACGGACGCGGAATTTCCGATTGGACAAGTAACTCTCGATTATGGAAAGCATTCTACCGCGCACACCCAGGTGAAACAAGTCTCTTAATATCCCAAAACGCCATGTTGTGTCGTAAGCCTTCTCGATATCGAGAAACACTGAGAGGAAGTATTGTTTGTGGACAAAAGCGCCTCGGATCTGTGCCTCGATACGCACCAGATGGTCGGTGGTGGATCTACCCTCCCGAAACCCACACTGAAATTGGTCGAGCAGATTGTGTGTTTCAAGGAAATGTAAAAGTCGGCGGTTTATCATTTTTTCAAAAAGTTTACAAACGCAGCTGGTTAGTGCAATGGGCCTATAACTTGAAACTGAGGAAGGGTCCTTGCCCTGTTTCAAAATAGAAATAACAATAGCCTCTTTCCAAGAAGCAGGGATGGTACCTGAGAGCCAGATAGCATTGTATAGAGAGAGTAAAGTTTTTCGCGTTTCGAGCGGCAAGTTTTTCAACATTTCATATGTGACACGGTCGTAGCCTGGAGCGGAATTATTGCAAGAGGTTAGTGACGTTTGTAGCTCAGCTAAGTTGAAAGGTTGGTTGTATTCCTCGTAATTTCTGCACTTGGATTCTAGTTTCTGCTTTTCTATCTTTGCTTTGTGTCTTTGGAAAGCTTCAGTGTAGTGTGACGAGCTAGACACCTGCTCGTAGTGTGCACCGAGGAAGTTCGCTTGATCTTCCAGGCTATCACCTTGTGTGTTTACGAGTGGGAGTGAGTGTACTTGTCTTCCTGCTACCCTACGAACCATGTTCCAGACTTTAGCCTCTTGTGTATATGAATTTATCCCTGATAAAAACTTGTGCCAGCTTTATTTTCTGGCCTGCCGACGCGTTCTCCTGCCTCGAGATTTTATTTTCCTAAAGCTCTCAAGGTTTTCCGCTGTCGGCGAGTTCCGCAGCAACCTCCATGCCCTGTTCTGTTCCTTTCGCGCATTCTGGCACTCAGTGTTCCACCACGGAACGTGTCGTTTGCCGGGCAGTCCAGATGTTTGTGGAATGCACTTGGTTGCTGCGTCAGTAAGAAAAGCCGTGAAGTACTGCACAGCTTCATCTATGCCTAACCCGCATATGTCAGTCCAATTTAGGTGAG